TTGTCAACTAAAGTATTTACTAAAGACTACCTGAATGTCAATCCTAAGTATACCTAAGAAAGGAAAATTAATCTTTAGTAGACTTATTTTATAAACTGCTATGTCTTCATCCCAGTGACAAGAAATCAAGTTGTAACAGGAGAACCTTACCTTCACACAGATGCCTGTCACAACAACTGGAAACAGTAGGGGAGGCAGGCTAAGACAACACAGTAAGCAGTATTCCAGTTACTGCCCCAGACCACTGCCCTCTTGCAGCGTACTCCAATACCATTCTTTGGGGAAGGGAATGTAGCTCAGCTGGTACAGTGCCCACTAAAGCCCTGGGTTCTATATATAACACCACATAAACTGTATGTGATGGCACACAGCTGTAATCACAGCACTTGGGAGGCAGAGACAGAGGGAGGGGCAGTTCAAGGTCAACCTTGACAACATATATCTAGGCAAGGCCAGCCTGGGCTACAGGAGATCCTGTCTCAAAAAGAATAAATAAAAATAAGTACTAATACAAAATACTATGTTGGAAAGTAAAACAATATTTGAATTAGCAGACATGGCTAACACCATATCTGTATACCATCACTAGAACTTTCTCATCAGGGAAGGCTCACTCTTGGAATTTCTGCACCTGGGAGATGCTCTCTTCTGACCTCCGTGAGCACTGCATGACACAGGTGCACTTACATACATGCAGGCAATACACTCATACAAATAAAATTAAAAATTAAAACAACAACAATAAAAACATCCTAGGACTTGGGAGGCGGAGGCAGGCAGATCTCTGTGAGTTAAGAGGCCAGCCTGGTTTACACAGCAAATTCCAAGCCAGCTGGGGCTACAGGGAGACCATCTCAAAAACAAAAACAAAAAACAAAACAAAAAAAAACACCATTCAGGGCTGGAGAGTTGGTTCAGCAGTTAAGAACACTGATTGTTCTTGAAGAAGACCCAGGTTTGATTCCCAGAACCCACACAGCAGCTAACAACTGTCCATAACTCCGGTTCCAGGGGATCCAACAGCCTCTTCTGTCCTCTGTGGGCCTTGCACGACATGGGTACGCTTACCTACATACAGGCAATACACGCATACATATAAGATAAAAATAATAAAATATTAAAAACAAACAAACAAACCACCATTCTTGTATTCACCCACCATTCTTTCAAATGTGTACTCATGTTCCTCACCGTAGACACCTGGCCTGTCTTTTATCCTGGTGTAATACAAGCACTTCTCCACTACCTGCCTGGCTTACTTCTCTGAACTCAATAAATGTAAAGCACATTTGCACAAAGGTTAAGTGTCAAAAGTATACTTCCCACTGGAGAACTTTGTTTCATTATGACTTATAAGATTATAGGTTAAAGATGGGCTGTAATCCTGACACTTGGGAGGCAGAGGCTGGGCTATAGGAGATCCTCTCAAAAAAACAACACAAAGAAAAAATTTCAGATCACCGTAGTTTTATGTCTGTGCTCTTTCCAAGGATACCATGCCAATGCTTTCTACTGTCTTAAAAACAGTGGTGAAATGGAAATCTGATGTGAACTAAATTTACAGTTAAAATGATGTAATTCCATATCCAAACAGTAGAAAAGATTCATCCTCAGACAGGAGGGAATATATGAGGCCAAACTATAACCAAGAGGTACTTGGTCAAAACTGCTGTTGCTCCTTAATAAGCAGAAGGGGGCAAGAGGGAGCAGAAGGGTCTGTAGTTTCAGGTCAGCCTAAGCTATATGGTGAGATCTTGTCTCAAAAAAAAAGTTCAAAGGAAGACTTACTGCTGAGGGTCTGGAGGGTAGCAAAGATTCAAAGAGACCCTTTACAAAGGTTTATCTTCGCATGCTGGCTTCTCTTAGCTAATGGAATTATTTTACAAGGTTATGGAATTGGCAATAATCACAGAATCCAATTTTTGAAGCCCATAAGTTTGTGCTTAGGTTGTAGAAAAAAAAAAAGCCAATATAATGAAACTCCTAAGATTTATTTAAAGAGTATTTCCTTCCCTATCTTAAAAGCAGAATTATAGTAGTCACCCAGCTCTCAACATTAGGTTAGATACTATACTGTTTCTTGAGATCAGATCTAGTATCTGCAAAGCACACCAAAAGGAAAAAAGATCCTGGAGTGGAGACACAACCCTGAGGCTCCAACTTCAGCTCAACTGGAGACTCACTTATTGCCAAACAACTGTGATTGGCACCTGCACACTTTCTGCTCACCTTCTTGCTCATCAGCCCCTCCGGCTAGACTGTAAAGAGAAGCTCACAGAGAAGCAGCTTTGCTTGGGGTTGTTTCCAGACAGGGTCTTGCAATGTAGCCCTGGCTGACCTCAATCTTGTGGCAAGCCACCTGCCTCTGCCTCCAAGTGCTGGAATTGCAGGTGTGCACCACCATGACTGGCTTACAGAAGTATCTGAAGCACAGACTGCCACTGCCGACTCCCTTGAGGCTAAGTAAGTAAATTTCAACCTAAACTCTGAATCAAAGATATCACACATCTCCAAATATTCACCCTTCTCTTTACATACAATTGAGGTAAAGTACTGGACAGGGAAATCAGCAAGAGCGATCCATGACAGAAAGACTATGGAAGTTATACCAGACGGGCAAATCACTTCTCTGCTTCTATTCCTACCTACACAATGATCAGCATTCTCACCTACTGTCCCTCAAAGATCCAGGAGAACAAAATCAACAGGAAAGGGAAACAGAAAGCACTACAAAGGGATAGGTGTAAAACGCTAAAAGAAAGTTTTACAACAGTCTCCCACCAACTCCAGAATGATCCAGGCACCACTCTGCTCTTCTACTGAGTCAGGGTAACATAGAATGTAATCTCTTCCCTTTCCCAATTCCTTAGGTGAACATAGTTAAGCAATCCTCTGAATTCCTCAGTGTAGACACCTATGCCTCCAAATCCTTTAGTGGGTTACAATGTCCCCTTGAGCTGGTCTCATTCACTTTTGCCATCTTCCCATATTCTTTACAAAATGATGTTTTCTAAAGCCACAGTTTGACCTCACTGCCTGTTGTTATCTTCACTGGATTCTCTTTGCTTTCAGCATAAAAGCAAACCCTGTGGAGTCTGACCCACAGCTCTCCTCCTGCACACATCCCTGCCTGCCCATGCACTCATTCTCCTCTCTCTCTCCCCTCCCCACCCCCTCCTTTTCATACTACCCTACAATTTCTGAAAAGGTTTACTCCTCCTCTGACCTCCAGGCTTCAACATATGCTGTTCCCTCAGCCTGTAATGTTCTTTTCACTCCTGCTCTTACATCCCTTTCACACCAATCTCTTCTCAGAGATGAGTTCAAGTCATAGCCTCAGCAAAGCCATATTTGACTCTTCCACGAAGGTCACACTCCTGCTAAACTCTTTTGTACCTATCATTCTTTCAAAGCACATTTTACCCTTGTAAGACACAAAATCTCTTTCTTCTGACTGAAAGCTCTAAGAGGATAGATCCCGTTTTCTCAACCATAGCATCACAAAGTGTCTGGCATATAGTATGCACTCAATATGCATTAGCTGAGCATCACTGAAAAGTCATTACTTACGGGCTGGAGACATGGCTCAAAGGTTAAAAGCACTGGCTGTGCTTGCAGAGGACCTGGGTTCCGTTTCCAGCACCCACATCGTGGCCAATAACCATTCAGAAGGGCAGGTCCAGGGGATCTGATGCCCTCTTCTGGCCTCCGTGGGCACTGGTGCACTTAAATACATGCAGGCAAAATTCCCATACATATTAAGTCATTACTTGAGCCAGGTATGGTGGTGCACGCACACCTTTCATCCCAGCTCTCGGGAGGCAGAGGCAGGTGGATCTCTGTGAGTTCAAGGCCAGCCTGGTCTACACAGTGAGTTCCAGGCCAGCTGGGGATACAGGGAGACCCTGTCTCAAAAAGACCAAAAATAAAAAAGTCATTACTTGACCTCAAAACTTTCCCACTTTCTCACAATGTCCCCTAGCACAAACTTGGCCTTTGACTCCCCGAGAAACATTTCTTCCCCCTCATTTTCAGGCCTTCAAATAACAGGGCTTTTTCTGCACAGAAAGTTCTTCCTATTTCTCCCAAATTCCACTGGCTTGCCAAGACCCAATTCAAGTTTTCTTTCCTACAAGATATGTTCCCACAGTGCCAGTTTGTTCCATTTATCTGGCTCCATATGTGCAAAGCACTTCACTTTTTGTTTCGGATAGTTGGATTTAATTTCAAGAGTTTCTCTTGTGGCTTATCTTCCAACCATCAGTGCGACCTCCTAAGGCTGAACTATTGACACCCCACTCCACACCCAGCAGTTCTAAGTCTGGAGCTTTCAGTGAGACCATTTTTCCCTTGACATACTACATTTTTCCTCTGAAAAGAATGCTGGCTTCCCTCTCATTTGTCTTCTGTTTCACAGGTGATTCACTTTGCCTTATGAGCCTTTTTTCCCACAAGTTCCTCTCCGGGGATTTTGGATGACCCTCCCCGTATTCCAGTAAGAAATGGTTATTATAACTGCCTGGACCCCGTTCCTTCCTCTGCCTGAAGGCCCCTGTGTGCTGGCTGACGGCCCCCTGCCTGCAGCAAGCAGCTCTCAGGCCTTTAAAACTGCCATTCCCTCCAATGGATATAAGGGACCCTCACTGAAGAGTTGGCCTCACACACACCAGCCCGGATCCTCACCTGGGCCACTGTCACTTTCCAACCTCTCACCGGTGCTAAGGATTCATTGGGACCTTCCAGGTGGAAAGGTCCGGAACA